TATTTCACCCTTCAAGTTCTATTTTCCATTCCTACAATACTGATCCTGCCTTCCGATGGTGAAAGATGAATTCAAATTTAAGTGTCAACAACTAGGTCAGTGACTCTATAGAATTACTTCTTCAGATTTCTTTTTTTTTTTTCTTCTCATTAATTAGTTTTCTTCTTTTATCATTATTATTTACATTCAATCACTATATACCAATAGAACATACAAAATGAATATTCCCAGCATGTCTGCACTGTATATTAGCATGCACCTATAAATCCAGCTACCTAGGAGGCTGAGGTAGAAGGATCATTTTAATCCAAGAGTTCTTGGGTGTAGTGTGTTATGCTGATCAGCATCAGTATGGTGGCCTCTCAAGAGCAGGGGACCACTGGGTTACCTACGGAGGAGCGAACCGGCCCAGGTGGGAAATGGAGCAGGTCAGACTCCCACATCAATCAGGTTTATTTATGATTTAATAATTGATAGAGCTATAATCCAAAGGAAAAATAATAATGAAATTCTAGATGTTATGGCAGGAGAGGAGGCAGAGATGATGGCAGTGCCTCAGAGTGGTCCTCTAATCATGACAGGTAAAGTCTATCTCTCAACCTCACTCCCACATTCCCTCACTTTTCCTTGCAGACTAATAACAAGTACCTACTTCTTCTGGCCCTGTTGAAGCCTGGTATCAGTCTTCAGGAGATTAGCTTAGCCCCTTCCTCCTTTTACCTTGCAGGACGCTCACCTGCTGCTGCCATCTGATGTGTGGGCGTCCCTAGACTTTCTGAGTATGTCTGCCCTCTCTATGGCATTGCTAACAACATGGCACATGCTGGAGTTCTAGAAAGGGGCAAAGATACCTGCTAGATGACCCTCCTCCACCCATCTCCCTCGTCCCAGTGATGGCACATTCATTGTGCAGAGAGTGTGATGAATTAATGGTACTGTTAAATACAAAGAAGACGGTAACACAGTCCTGAGCCACTACTCTTAAAGGAGAGCAGAGGACCCTGCTGGCAACTATTGAGACAACCACAGACAACCACCCTTGGCTGCAGTGTTAGAAGACACCAAGCTTGGATGCATTCCCTTTAAGCTCAGTCTCTAAGAGCCCCCTGGAGACTGTGTATTTAGAGTTTCATGTGTTTGAGACCTGGTGATACCTCTGCTATCACCTACATGATTTAGCAGGTCATCTCAGTTCTCGAATATCCACTTCTCTATTTAAAAGGAAAAAGGTGATACTTACCTTGTAGGGTTTTTGAAAATTATTAAACAAGAAAATGAAGTTAAATGTAATACACACACATACATGTATATTATTTTATCAGATTGAAGACAGGAGACTCATGTCACATAGATCAGTATTTCCTGTCTGAATAACACAAGGATAACAATATGCATTCAGTTAAACAGCATTGCTTCAGCCCCTATAGAGAGCCAGTCTAGGAGTGCCGATTTAGTCAGGGTGGAATCAAGATTCTAGGCAATGGTGTTTAGGCATAGTTCGTGGTCCAAGTGAGTCACTGTGCCTGGGAAGTCTCCAGAGAGCACTCCTATGAATTCATCCATGCTCGGTGCCTTCCAACACTACAGCTACAGATGGTTGTCTGTGCTTGTCTTGACAGCAGGGGTCTCTGCTCTCCTTTAAGAGCAAGGCTCAGGGTTTCTCTGTGCTGCCATCTTTTCTGTATTTGACAGCCTCTTGGTGGTTCTGACCAAGGATCTCTCAGGGCTGTTTTCAAACAGAGGTGCCCTGCCTGGGAGAAGAGAGAACACGGAGGCATCACAATGTCCCCAGGATTCTGGGCCAGACTCAGGCTTCTTCCTAATTATGTCCCCTGGATCTGGGCAAGTGTTCACGCACACCTGAGAGAGCTGAGAGAAGATCAACACCTGTGACCCATGCCATGTCCTATGTCTGAGACAAGAGAGAAGGTAAAATAGAGATAGCAGAAAAGAAGGATACTTGTGGTGGTTGACTGAGAAGGCTTCTCTGAGTGATGGTCACACTGCCAGGTTCCTCCCCAGAACCCAAGAATCCCAATTTCTGGGCTTTCTTAATGAAGAAAAATGAGCAGCTAAAAAGAAAAAAAAAAAAAAAAAGCAGCTGAAGCCACCAAGTTTGGAAACCTGATCATATGATTTGATTTCTGGACTCAGTTCACCATTGGCAGGATGATTCAGATAGCTCCATAGTCTGCAATCAGCAGCTACAAAGTTTGATATCTAGAATCTAGGATGATGCTGAAAGGAGGAAAAAGAAAGAAGAAAGAAAGAAAGAAGAAAGAAAGAAAGAAAGAAAGAAAGAAAGAAAGAAAGAAAGAAAGAAAGAAAGAAAGAAAGAAAGAGAGAAAGAGAGGGAGGGAGGGAAAGAAGGAAGGAAGAAAAAGAAAAGAAAGAAAGAAAAAGAAGAAAGAAAGAGAAGAGAAAGGTAAAAAGAAAGCCATGAGAAAGTCTATACCAAGGTCTGCAATGACCTGAACTGGACGTGAGATGTCACCAGTAACAGCTGGACTGGCTAGACGGCCTTCACTCCCAGGCATCTCAGTCTCTCCACATGGATTAGTGGCTCTTCCATTCCAAGGCTTCTGTCTGTGATTCACCTTTGATTAACTTTCTGCTCCCCATCAGACCCCACACACTTCACATGCTTTCTGTCTGAAAGAATCCCCTATACACATCAACTTCTCTTGAGGACTCTGTGTCTGCCATTTCATCAAGTCCCAACTGGTCTCTCTATCCTAAACTTTTATTCTACCTATGAAGCCAGGGCACGAACAGTGTGGACCTGAAGTCTCATGGCAGGGGTAGAAGATCCATGTAGATTCCGAGGAGGACATTTTTGCAGTTCACTTTAATTTGCTGCTGTGATGGGGAGGGCAGAAGGGGGAGACCTATGAATGCATGTGTTTCCATGTGCGTCAGGGTTTGGGGTGGAAAAGAGAATGACAGAGAAGCAGACTGGGGTTACAGGAAAGTGAATAAAGTGATATTTAGTAAAAGGGGCTCAGAAGTCACCTCAAGTGCAGTCCCTTGTATGTATCTTGGGTAAACTCATTCTGTTTTCAAATACCTGGGGAGGCCTTTGGTGAAAGCCTGAGTACCTGGTCCCTCTGTTCTCTGACCTAGATTTAGATAACCCATGGGGAAAGAATGCCTTTTCTAGACAGCACATAGAGCATTATAGGAAGAAAGCCTGGGCACATGTGGAGAAGCCATCTTCCTCAACAGCATACAGATCGGGAACATTGTCTCTTGAGGATGATGTGTATAGTATCCCCAACTGGACTGGTGAGAAATGTATACATGTTGGATATTCACTTTGAAAGCTAAGTGACATATGTGATTGAATGTATAAAAGAAATTGAAATAAAAAAATATATTTAAAAAAAAGAAGATCAAGAACATAAAACCAAAGATGAGGGAGGTGGCACCCAATTTAGCCTGCCCAGCCCCAGATTGGCCAAGCCAATGTCACAGACAAATGACTCTTGTTTCTGGAGGCCCTTATGTGGAAAGGTAGTGGTAGAGGGTGACAGATGGGAGGCTGAGCAAAGGGAATGAAGAGCAATTAAAACAGGAGTCCTGCCAAGTGTACTTGGTCTCCCAACCACCACTATGCACATCACAGAGAATGGTGAGCAGATGGTGCCCCCTGATGGCAAACTCACTCCGCATGTGCTGAGGAAACAGTCCTTGGCAGATTCTCTGCCCACATCCACCCACACTACCATTAGAAATGGAGGTGCATTTAACATGAATCCTCCTGCACTCACTCCCAGCAACATGCCAGGTACCTGCTCCCTTGTTCTACATCCTCTTGGGTAGAGAAGCTCTAAGCTAGAAGCAGAGTTGCTCAGTTCATGTGATGCTGTTCCTGCCTCCCATCCCTGCAGTGGTCTCGGGATCCTGGATCTTATTTCTATTCTCTGTGTCTGCACTTCCCAGTAGATTCTCAGCTACTTGCCTCGAGCCTGAGCCTCCTTGCTCTGCCCCCCACTCCCCTCATAGTCTCAGCTCACATTGTGGACTTAGGTCTGACTCATATCTTTCCAGTGCAACATTGGGTAGGCCCTCCACTGCAGGTTCCAGACTTAGTTCTTTCTGAGAGTTGTTCTTTTTTAAAGATCAGCTTGAGGGACCAGCAGGTAGTGTAGTGGTTAAGATGCTGCACTCCCACATGGCTGACTGCATTCAAGTTATAGATTCAGCAGTGTGAAAATCACACTGGGCATGTGTGCCCATAATCCTAAGAGAAAAATGGAGAAGGGATTGTGATATGGCCATCCCCCTACTTTCCCTCCCTGTCTCTCTCTTTCTAGCAAGTGCAAAAATCTTAAAAAATATCAATTTTAGGTTGGGCCATGAGAACTTTAGGTGGTGATAAGCAATAAGAATGGAGGTCTAATCAGAAAAATGGGTATTTGTGCCATGGGTGTGAGTGAGGGGCTGTACACTGAGAGTCAGCCCACCCCTCTTAGTTTCCAGCATTTCTCCAGGTTTCTCCCCTCTGGAATTGATCCTGATATTAACATGCCGCTTGCTTTCTATGTGCTTACACAATGTGGAGAAAATAGCTAATACCAAAGAACTGTTCTCTGTGTCCTACATTACACTAGAGGCTTCACTTAAACTGTGCTGTTCAGTCCTCATGGAGGCCCTTTAAGATGGAGACTTACTACCTGCATTTTTACAGACACAAAAACTGAGATTTGGGAGGATCAAGAGATTTTTCCCTAAACTTACGTGACAAAGCCAAGGTCTGCACTCAAGCCTTCCAAACATGGGGTTACATGAATATACTATGAATACAGGCAGAATGTTCCCTGAAAGGCAAATGGGAAATCGGCAGAGTAAGTCCATTTGTAATTACAAGGCAAGAAGGGAGGATCTGGGTGGGAAGAAGCAGTCTTGGAGGGCTGTCGGGGCAAAGGAGGAGGGCTGACTCTAAAGTGGGAACCAGGGAAGTCTGTATCTGGTTTTGATTCAAATGCCCAAGGAGTGTTTCACACTGTGTCTTTGCTGCAGGTGCAGTACAGCGTTCTGCTCTGGGTCACGTTGGCCACGTGCAGCCTCAGTTCAGTGTCACTGACCCGTGTAACCTGGTAATCTGCTCCAGGAAAAGATATGGCCTCCTTCTCCTGAGGACTTCGCAGAGTAGCTAGCATCTGGAGTTGCCGCTGAAGGTCCTGTTGGTACCAGCTCATCCAGGGGTACTGGGAATTTCTCAGAATGCAGTGCAGAATCTCAGCTTGACCACGTGGTACCAAGACCCACCTGGGACTTTGCTCCACCAGGCTTGCACTGGTGTCTGAAATACACAGACATCCTGGGCTGAAGGTCAACAGAATGGGTACCTCTAGAGATGACTGGCAAGGCTACAATTAGGGAGCAATTTCTGTAACTAGCTACTCCAGTGACTGGGCCTGTCTTTCCCTCCTCTAACCCACTGAGGGGCTTTCTCTGCCTGCCATCTGACCTGTACTCCCAGCTGCCATCAGCACCCAATAGCACAGAACAGAAAGCAGTGCCATTCCCTGGTCCCTCAGTCTCTCTCCAGCAGGGTGATAGGACAGGGATAGCCAGACAGGAGAGCTGAATCCAAGCCTGTAAGTTGGAAAGAGGTGGCTGACAGTCTCTGGACCTCAACCTCCAAAGGGTGTGGCTTTGTCAGGAAACTGAATCTTTTGTCTATCTTCTCATCAAAGAGCAAACCTCAAACTGAAGAGTGATTTCCTGCTTCCCGAACCCCAACAGACACTCATACATGCAACCTCACACTCCCCACATCCACTGTGTTTTTTAGGAAAGGTACTTGTCCCTGTTCTTTCTCAATTGCATCCCAGATTCTCTGAGAACAGAGGTCTGAATCTATGCCTCTCATCTTAGCAAGAAACTAAAATTATCTCAGTGCAACCAAGCAATGCTTGTAGACTTGAACAAAGACGTCTCTCACCCACCTACTTCACATACAAAATCATTTCAAAAGCTTAGAAAAATGAATTCAAGTACAAGTCCATTTGGATGCAAAAATGTTTCAAATGCATAGTTTTTTTTTCCCCCATAATGCACACTTTCCATGATCTTTTGGAAGACCTCCCTCATATCCACCAGGGATGTTGCAGGACAACATGGTGTGGTCAGACAATGGGCACTCATCTCCAGTTACCTGTGTTTGACTGTGAGGGCAAACATAAATTAAAAATTAAATCTCCTGTAGCAGGGGGTGATTTCTCATTTTCCCTCTCACTCTGTCTCCAGTGAGACACAAAGCTTGAAGCAAAAATCTAAAAAAAAAAAAAAAAAAAAAATCTTTTAATTTTCAAAAAAAAAAAAAAAAAAAAAAAAAATCTGTTTAATTTCCCTTGTTGAAACTAAGGGAAGAACTCCCCTTACCCAACTCCAATTTTTATAGCATCTGCCTTAGAAAACTTCCAGTTGTGGGACCAGCAGTTAGCATAATGGCTATGTCGCTGGACTCCCATGTTGTCAACTGCAGATCAAGTCCTGGACCTGGCGGCTTAAACTCATGCCAGGTGCGTGTGCGTGCGTGCTCAGGATCCCAAGAGGAGAATGGAGGAGAAGGGATTGTGGCGTGGCCATCTCCCCTGGGGGGTGATTTCTCACTTTCTATCTCTCTGTCTCTCTGTCTTTCTGGCGAGCGTACGCGCCCTCTAGCAAAAACCTCTCAAAAAAAAAAAAGAAAGAAAAGAAAACTTCCAATTGTAAACTCTACCTTAATGTCTTTGAAATGTATATATATCTTATTTTATTTTTAATTTTTTATTTATATTTAAACACTGTACATCTTTACATTGTACAACATGCTTTTTCCTAGCATTAATGTAGTGCCTGTTAGTCAAGTCAACAATGTTGCCATACACATTCTCATCCACAAATAACTTTTCATTTGTATATCTATTAAATGTTTTGTTTTTCCCCCATCCCTTCCTTTCCAGCCCTATTACTCATCCCGTACTACTCACACCCTTCTATACTGTCTCTAGAAGCTACAGTAGGTCTCCCTGCTATTATAACTTTCAACCTTCAGTTTCTGCTGTAGAGTGCAGACATTTAGTATATATGTATATTTTCTTTCTTTTCCTTTCTTTTTTTTACATTCAATCACTGTATACCTTTACAGCATACAGAATGAAATTTCCTAGCATGAATACACTGTATGCTAGTCCATTCAAATATATTACTCTACACTTTATCATCAATAGATAATTTCCATTTTTGTGTCTATTACATGTTTCCCCCCTTGACTCCTCCCTCCCAACCTCCCATTCCCACCCTCCTCCCACACTGTCTCCAGTATCCATGGCTGCCCTCCTTGCAAGTCCTCTTGCACTGCCTCCACCATCGCCACTGCTCTCCGGGCCTTTATACCTCCCAGTTATTCAGTTTCTGCCACAGAGCACTGGCATGTGGTATATATTGAGTGGGAACATACAACGCCTCTCTTCATAGTCTGACTTGCTTCACTTAGCAATAAACCTTTCCTATGTGTCCACTTTCTATCAAATACCAGGGTCTCATTTTTTTAATGGCTACATTTAATTACATATCAAATTATTTTCCCAGCAACTCCTGATGTTACTATAACTCAGGTCTTAGTGACTTCATCTGTAAGATAGACATAACTAAGAAAACTATTTTATAGGAATAAGTGGAGCAGTACATGAAAAAGGCTGAGGGGAGAGCTCGGCTCAGACTACACACTTGATAGAGTTAACTGCTATTATTTCAATGATAAAATTCGAATTTAATGAAAATATGAAATAGTAAATAGCAACTTTTGTCTTTATTCATCTATCAACTGAGCAATCGACTGTGATTAAAAGCATAAGTTACCATAACATTTTAACATTAATAAGAGGTCTTGTTTTTCAGAAAGCTCGGGAAACAATATTCTGGGAAATTAGACCAAAAAAGGCCTGCATCTACCATCTCTCCATACTCACCACTTTTCAGTCAATAACAGGAGACACAGAAGGGTTTAGGAACTTCCCACATTCCAGTCCTGGACTGTACCACATTCAAGTCAGAGTTCTGAGTGTGGTGTCTGTCCCATTACTGACGCTTAATAAACTCAGGGAGTTAGGTTAGGGCCAGACCTCAACCCAGATCAGGGACAGATCCCTCCATGAAGAGCCCCACATGAGGTTTCAGCGATAGCCTGGCATCCTGGGGTGGGAGCAGATGGAGATCGAGTAGAAGAGATGCCCCGAGTGTACAGTCACTGCTCCCAGCTCTTCCCTGAGGACAGTGCTCAGACCAGCCAGGTAGATCACAAGAGATCCTGGGCCCTTCTCTGTTTACAGGCCTGGCTGTCCTGTCTCCCTGCCTCCTCCTCCCTAGCCTTAATCCCCAAATGAGATTGGGATCAGAGTGTCTCCAGCGCCACATTATCTCCTCCCTGGCCTTGCTGCTCCTCAAGGTCAGTGCCTCCCAGGATCTGCCTTCCCCTCTTGTGTTGGCCCAGCTCCCCGTCCTGGCCCAAAGTAAGCCTCTTGCTTCCAGATGACTGCCCAGCTTCTCTGCTAGGTCCAGTGTTGGGATGTTGTGGCTGCCATTTGGGACATTTGTTTTCTTCCCCACTGCACCCCATTTGAATTGCTACTCAAGTGCTCACAGCAGAAGCAAACAACCATAGCGGGGTCCTCACCAGCTTCAATGCACTCAGTAGGAAACACAAAGACTATGCATGTGCTGAATGAAGAGGTGAGGAGGCTGCTCCAGCATCTATCCACCCCCACTGGAGTGGAGAAGTGTGGTCCAGTTTGTGTGGGGGGATGTCCTGGGGACGTGTCCCTTCCATTGTCTGATGAAGGATGAACAACTGCAGATCAGAGGAGACAAGCCCAACTCCAGGTCAGCCACCAGGAGGAGATAACTCAGGGGTTAGGGTGAGACTTTGATCCATTATATAAGAAGCAGTCAGAAAAACGACATCAACTCCCTCCACTATGACAAGCCATGGTGGAAATGCATGGCAGAGATCTGGTCCCTTGCACATGTCTGCAACCTAAGGAAATGAAGAAAGTAACAGAAAGAACATCAACCTGTGGGTAGGACCCCTGTGTTCTCATGTTAGTGCTACAGTAAGGTGGCAGGTGAGCAGCCACTACTCATGTCACCCTTGGCGCCCTCATTTTCTCATCTAGACATCAAGTGGATGGAATGTTTTTGAAAACTAAATGGATCTCTCTACTCCAGTGTCCTAATACTCTAATATTCCTTCTGTGCTTTTACTGTTTGTGGAAAACCAGTACACTTGCAAGTGGAGAAGTTGGACTAAGCCTCCAGTGGAGACACATTAAAATGTCATTTCTCTAAAAGGCAACTCATGAGAGGAAGAGTAAAGCACAAAGCATCCCAGAGGCAAATTCACGTTTATTTCTCATTTAGTTCCTACCCTTCCCCTCACTTTCTCCCATTCTTGCTCCTCCCCAAAATATGCAGGAAACGAAAGCTGCCTGACACTTGAGCATCTGGAAAGCTGATTACAGTCCCTTCACCTCTAAGAGTCCTTCCAGGGATTAGTAGCAAAGATCCTCCAGGAGATGGAAATCATAGCTTCCCTCAAGCCCTCCCACCAACTTCTCTCCTTCCTACACCGTACTGGAGAACTGCAAGCCTAGGCTTATGTGTAGCTTCCTCCCGCCCGCACCCCAGCCCCCACACCATTAGTACCTGAGTTCTACATGTAAACAAAATTAAAAGTGCCCATAAAAACTGGGATGGAGGCAGATGTCAGAGGTAGAATGTTCAGTCAGAACATCCAAGAATACAGGATAAGGTGGGACAGGAAGAGAGATAAAGAGAGAAAGGAGAAGCTAAACCCCTTGTTTCTGTGGGGTCCCCACTAGCACACCACTGGCATGGGGTTGGGATAGAAAGTCTGAATGAGTCATCCCTGAGGATTTTATGTCCCCTGATTTAGAGTGAGATAAACCTGTTCTGTAGCCTCTCAGAGACATTTCACCTTCAGAGTTATGTAAGTGGCAAAAAGAATGTTTTTGTGGCACAAAAACATTTGAACCCAGAAGATAATCAGATCAGAAGAACCCCAGCCTGTCCCTTTCCTGTGGCGTGATGCCTGGCACAGGTAGAGGCATATATAAGTGCAGAGATTTCAAGTGTCCTTCCACAGGAGAGCTGTGCCAGGCTCCAGGAGCCATGACCTGTGTCCTTCTCTTCAGGCTTTTCCTACTTCTGGTCCTAGCATCCCCTTCCCAAGGCAAGCGTCTTGGCCCCACATCTCGCCTGCGTTATTCTAGGTTCCTAGATCCTTCCAATGCCATTTTTCTGCGTTGGGACTTTGACCTTGAAGCTGAGATCATCACTTTTGAGCTCCAGGTCCGAACAACTGGATGGGTGGGCTTGGGTGTCACAAACCGCTACACCAACGTGGGAAGTGACCTGGTCATTGGAGGAGTCTTGCCCGATGGCAATGTCTATTTCTCGGTAAGTCTGATGGTGACTGTCTTCCAAGAATGAGGATCTTTATTGAGTTGAGAATGTCACAATGCCTATGAGGCACATCCCCAATCTCTAGCTTACCATTGAATTCTCCCTATAGATATGGTCCATTATAAAACTTACTGTCTAGGCCTTTGAGACTGCATGCCTCCAAGGCTGCTCTAAGATAATGGAACCAGTAGTCTGTGAGCGACAGTCTTGTTCCACTTATTCGTTAATAGCCCATTAAATATGGGTCACTAGGGATGATTCAAAGCTGAGACACATCTCTGCCTTCAATTTCCTTTAAACTAAATCAAATGGATCACAATATGCAATAATCTAATAACAAGAGCAGCAACAGTAACAATAATGATCACTTAGAATTTTTATATACTTGGGACCAGTAGTTAGCGTAATGGCTATGTCGCTGGACTCCCACGTAGTCGACCGCGGTTCACGTCCCGGACCCGGTGACTTAAAACGCATGCTGGGCGCGTGTGTGTGTGTGTGCCCAAGGTCCCGAGAGGAGAATGAAGGAGAAGGGATTGCGGCATGGCCATCTCCTCTGGGGGGTGATTTCTCATTTTCTGTCTCTCTGTCTCTCTCTGTCTGTCTGGCGAGTGCACACGCCCTATGGAAAAAAACTCTCAAAAAAAAAAACAGAAAAAAAAAGAATTTTTATATACTTATGATTAATCAAAAATTGTTCCAAATTCATAGCATTATTATGAAGTGAATCATTATTACTCCCTTTTACAGATGAAGTCGCTTATCCATCTCCCAATCTCACCCATTTTGACTAGTTTGAATTCCTAATCACCCTTTCAAACTGCACTTACAGTGGGAAGTGTCAACTAGCAGTACCAGGAAATGTGCGGCAAGAGCCACATGAGAAACTATAGATGGCATGGACTGAAAATAAGTGAACTTTCAAGTGTTAGGGATGCGGGGATATTAGGATTTATGGAGATGAGATTTTCAACGAGAGAGTAAAGGAAGGGCAGGTGGGCACACTCCATCAGACAGTCCATTCCTCTTCCCCAACAATCTGCTTCTTGATGCCATGCTCCGATCTAGGAGGAGACTATGGCAAAAGAATGTTTTTGTAGCACAACCTATGTTCTACTACTTTTGACTCTGGGGAAGCTGAGAGACACCTACTTTTCCAAAGCATGACCATTTGAGGCTCCTAGTTCTTACTCCTTGACCTTTACTGAAACCCAGGACCAGCACCTGGTGGATGAAGACACCCTTAGGGAGGACGGAAGCCAAGATGCTGAGCTGCTAGGGCTCACAGAAGATGCTGTCTACACCACCATGCGCTTTTCCAGGCCCTTCCGCTCCTGCGACCCTCATGACCAAGATATTGCGGTAAAATAGAGTGAAAAGAACTTTAATTACAAGCAGGGGAGGTGTAGCCATGCCTAGTCAGGCAGCCAGTCAGTTTCTAGAGCTTCCATCCTTCTCAATCTTCCCTGATACCACCTCAATTGTGCCACAGAACAACTTCCCACAGATTCAGCAACTATCCCACCCTTCGCAGTGCTCCCCCTGAAATAACCCTGCCCTATCTCACTGACCGTTGGAGTGTTTGAATTTAAGAGTTTAGCTCAACTCTTTCATTTTGCAATGTGGACATAGGCATCCAGGTGGGGAGGTGAGAGGGACTACGGCCTGATCAAGATTACCAGCAAGCAAGCCTCAGGGGCAGAGTTAGAACCTGACTAGCTTTCTCCATCCTACTGGGTAGACATGGCAAGTGGCTTGTGGGGGTCCTTGGGTACAAATATGTGTGAAGTGTTGCTCACAGGCAGCAGCATCTCACTGCTCCTGGCTCCCAGAGTGACACAGTGAGGGTGCTCACTGCCTACGGCCTGGATGACACTGTGAAGTTGGATCGGGAGCGTACTTTTGTCAAGTCCATCTTCCTGCTACAAATAGTCCACCCTGATGATCTGGAAGTCCCCGAGGACACCATCATCCATGACTTGGAGATCACTGATGTAAGACCCTCTGCCCTATCCAGCAACCTCCAGTTCCTGTCCCATCTCCCGTCAGTCCACACCCCTCTACTTGTGCCTACAGTGTAGTCAGCACATTCCTCAGACTGAGGCTGCTCTGGCTCCTCTGTCCCCTGAAGAGTGCCAATCTGGCCCTATCCCCCTGCCTTGTCCTGTCCCTCCCCCAGTTTCCCTGGGAGCCTTGATCCCCCCACTCAGCTTCTGTGCACCCTTCCCTAGTTTCTCATTCCAGAGGATGACACCACGTATGCCTGCACCTTTCTCCCTCTCCCCATCGTAAGCAAGAAGCATCACATCTACAAGGTAAAGGGAACCAAAAGGAAACATTTTCAAGGCAAGGAAACATGTTCTAACAGGGAGGTGGGTGTGACCAACTCTGAAGGAGGTTTCTTTGGAAAAAATCACTGAGAAGAAGCGATAGAAAAGTAGCTGGGAGAACAAGGGAACAGGCAGGGCTCGCGGCAGAGGTAGTTACGTAATTTGTGGAGTCCAGAACTACAATGTTCAACTCTACATAAGCCACACCGTGCAACAGACATTTGTTGGTTATAATGATTAAGCATTTGTGAAAAACAGAGTATAAACCCCAGCCTGGCCCTAGAATTGTTTTCTCTTTTCCTCTGTCTCTATAGAGAACACATGTGTATGAGAAAGAGAAAGATAGACACCCTGAATGCACAGCAGTTTGCCACAATCTGCTATCCCCTGCCTTCCAGCATCTCAGGAACTCAGATGTCCAGGCTCATGATAGGGATGTTCTCAGGCCCACTAGGGATTTGACCCCTTGGTCAGCCCTGTGGCTTCCAGCACTGCACTCCAGTACTCTATAGACTAAGCCAGAAGTGTGCTGTTAGCCCTGGAAGAGAGAGGTAAAGACCGAGACAGGAATGGGGATAAGGGCTGTCAGGAGGTCAAGAAAGTCTGGCTAGAATGAGCTCAAATGTGGTGACATAATTTCACATTTGAGTGACTTCAGTTTGATCTAGTAAATATAAGTATGATCTTAGTATGAACCACAGCGACATGTCTATTGAGATGCTGTGCTCTACAGCTGAGACGACATAGGGGACCCCAATCACCTCCAGGTCCAACCTAAAGTCTGGGCATGATGGTTTAGCCTGTGATTCCATTGGCCTGGGGAGGCTGAGACAGGAGGATCTTGAGCTCAAGGCTGTACTGGGCAATATGGTTAAACCCTGTCCAAAAACGTCAGGCACAGTGACATGTACCTGCAATCCCAGCTAAGTGACTGATGCAAGAGGATCATGACATGGAAAGATCTGTCTTTAAAAATTCACAAATAAGAGGCAAATGTGTGGGGGTACTTTTTTTTTTTTTTTGGAGAGGTTTTTGCTATAGGGCGCGTGCACTCACCAGACAGACAGAGAGAGACATAGAGACAGAAAGCGAGAAATCACCCCCCAGGGGGGATGGTCACGCCGCAATCCCTTCTCCTCCATTCTCCTCTCGGGATCTTGGACACGCATTCACACGCGCCCGGCATGAGTTTTAAGCCCCCGGGCCGGGGACGCGAACCACATTCGACTACGTGGGAGTCTAGCGACATAGCCATTATGCTAACTGCTGGTTCCCTTTTTTTTTTTTTTTTTTAAAGAAAAAACTCCAAAGAAGTATGATGACTTGCTTGGATAGCAAGAACTGATTGAGGTTACCAAAGAAAGTCAGGAGTCCTGGCTAGTTTCTGGCCAGATTTAGTATGCTATGTTCTCAAGGAAGAGTTTTAAAGGGGTGGGAATTGAGAGAACAGTCAGAGTTGGGAGAAATGCTAGTGTGTGGGTGAAAAGCAGAGAGAGGAAATGGAAGAAAAACAGAAGCAAAGAGAAGTTGGGAGTGACATAGTTTTGATTGGGGAAAAGAAATGAGGAGAATGAGGACCTGGCACAGAAGGTCCTGACCGTGCTCTGCCCTTCTTTCTCTGCGCAGTTTGAGCCCAAGCTTATCTACCACAACGAGACCATGGTGCATCACATCCTGGTGTATGCCTGTGGCAATGCCAGTGCTCTCCCCACGGGCATCAGCGACTGCTATGGAGCTGACCCCGCCTTCTCCCTCTGCTCACAGGTCATCGTGGGCTGGGCTGTCGGGGGCACGGTGAGTCCTGTGAGGGGGAAATATGTGGCGGGGGTGGGGTGGGGGGATGTGTTTTTGAGCAATGGGAATTGCTGAGCTGAAGGAAGACAGAGAATAGGGACAATCTGGGATAATGGCTGGAAAATAAGGACAGGAGCTCTGAACCCCTTCACCTTGTCCCCAGTCCTTCTGGTTGCCCAATCTCCCTCCTGCCAACAGAGTTACCAGTTTCCCGATGATGTAGGCATTTCTATTGGGACCCCCTTGGACCCTCAGTGGATCCGACTGGAGGTTCACTACAGCAATTTTCACAACCTTCCTGGTGAGTGTCCAGAGGACTACAGAAGGCAGCTGTCGGGCTGGCTGGTTCCTGCAGGTGTTGGGAAGGTGTCCAGGGCTGTCAGCTATGATCGACAGCTGGCTCCTTTGCTCACAGCCCAGCTCCAGCTTTCCCTCTTACTGTCCACACCATGACGACTCTTCTACCTCCTGAGATTTCATTTGTTAGTTTGTTTGTTTGTTGTTTCTGCACCAGGTGTGTATGACACTTCAGGGATTCGAGTGTACTACAGTCCTCAGCTGCGCAAATACGACATGGGTGTCCTCCAGCTGGGCTTCTTCACTTTCCCCATTCACTTCATACCTCCGGGTGCTGAGTCCTTCATGTCCTATGGGCTGTGTAAGACTGAGAAGTTTGAAGAGGTGAAGCTGGGAGGCACACCCTCCCTGAGGTTCCTTGTTCCTCATCACAGACCTGGTCTGACCCACAAGTCCACACAGCCCCAGTCGCAGAGTTGAAGAAGGGCTATAGTCTAGTTCTCAGGAAAAATGGTTCATGCAAATCAAGCAAGGGAGGGAAGGAGTGGGCTTTGGAGCAAGGCAAATGGTATAGGAAGAGCAGCCAGGGGAGTTAATAAAGAAATAATGGGTATCAGTCATGTGAGGAAGAAGTCAAGAATCAAGGGAGGAAAATCGGGGAGCAAGTCAAAATCAAAGTTCTTAACAAACCAGACATGCAACCTCCCTATTACAGATGAATGGGGCCCCCGTGCCTGACATACAGGTATACGGCTACCTGCTCCATACCCACTTGGCAGGGCGGGCTCTGCAGGCTGTGCAGTACAGGTAAGGGCAGACCTTGTATTGAAGCTTTTCCTTCTGAATGTGGGAATAGTTCTTCATTCTGCGGTGTAAAGTTTTGCATGGTTGGGAATAAGGAGGAGCTAGAACTATCCCCTGAGAGGGGATGGCTGGAAAAAGACTGGAAGAAAGAGCTTTTTTGTTTATGTTTATAAACAACCTATGCGCTCAGCATGACCCCACACACTTCATCTTTATACGTAGACTCCTCTCCACTTCCCCTTCTCATTTCTGTGTTTTCCCCTTCTCTGCCTCTAGAAATGGAACACAAATTCAAACGATCTGTAAAGATGATTCCTATGACTTCAATCTGCAGGAGACTCGAGATTTGCCTTCTCGAGTGGCAATCAAGCCGGTGGGAGCCCAGGGAAAGCGTGGCTGGAATCCAGGCAGGGGGGGAAGGCAGGATCTGAGATTATAATCGTTAGATGGGAAGGTTCTAAGACCATACCAGTCCCTCTGTGTCTTAGTCTCAGCCTTCATATTTACTCCGAACAGGGAGATGAGCTGCTGGTAGAATGTCACTACCAGACACTGGACCGTGACACAATGACCTTTGTAAGTACATCTCCCCTACCATGGTCACCATGACTATAGCCCCAGAATAGAGCCCCACCCATGGTTTTGGCGACCCAGTGACTCCCATTACTCTAGCTGAAGCCCTTCCTTCTCCAATGGCATTTCCCACTGGCATGGGCTTTTCATGCCCTCATGTTACCATTCATCTAGGATGGGTACAGAGATCCCTTGTGTTTTCTGTCAGTGACTCACTAAGACCATGGAACCATAGTTGTTACAGCAACTAAAAGCACAGACTCTGAGGCCTCACTGCCTGGGGTTGAATGTCAGCACAAACAGGTAACACCTTTCTACCCCAAGGCAAGTTATTCTACCTCTTTGTGCCTCAGTTTCCTAACTCCAAAAAGATTAATACTATTTCTTTTCTCATATGATTGTGTTAAGAGTTACTTAATACATGCCAAACACTTAGGTCATTGCCTGACTTGTAGTGGTTGCTCAGGTAGAGTGTGCTACTTTACTATGATCACAAGGAGCCCCACCTATCTTGTGTGTCAGCAGTGGTTCAGGGCTTGAGGGATCCAAAAAAGATCAAATGCTATTGAAGAAAAAAATACAGTCATACTAATGATTATAATGCAAGAGAAGAATGGAGAAAATGCATTAGGAAAATTTACAGGAAAACAATCCATAAGCTCCTACTATAGCGAACTGAAGATGTGACATATGTGAGTTGGCCTTGCTCTACTCACTGAGAGTTGGGGGATTCTGGAGAAGGAAAAGACAGAAAAATACATGTAAGAAATACATGGGGTGTTCATGAAGAATGAAGAGCTTGGCTGGAGGCTAAGTAATAGAAAAAACATGTCTGAAAAAAACAGTGAGAATGAAGAAAATAAAGAATCCCTAGAGTAGGGTTGACACTGTGTAACTTACATCTTCAGGACAGCAGAGTCCAACTTTATTGCTTTCTATTTTCCAGGTGGGCAAGTTGAATAAACAAATGGGTTAAAATTTCTTATATGTAATCAAAGAATTTGTTTAAAGGTAATATTTAATGGACTACTGAGAGCTGAAAGTTTCTGCATAGGCAGATGGCAGACATATTGTGAACAAGTCTGGTGGTGGCTCTGTAGAGATTGCAATTAGGCCGGATGGGTGACTGATGCAAGTCGGGAGTCGGATAGTATAACCAAACTAGGACAGTGGCAGCTGAAATGTAGACATCAGGGCAGACATGTGGAATATTTGTTTGGAAATAATACTAATAATTGTCCCCTGGTTGGAAACAAAGAAAGATACGTGGTGAGATAAAGTAAGTAACAAGAGCCAGCTGGCCCTGGCTGTTATAAAACAAGGAAAGTAGCAGAGCTCATAGAGTGACCGCCAACGCCAGTTTCTGCCTGCAGTGTTGCTCTCTTTCTTCACACCTTTGTCTCTCTCTCTCTCTCTCTCTGTCTTTCCATTCTTCTCCAGGGAGGTCCCAGCACCATCAATGAGATGTGCCTCATCTTCCTCTTCTACTATCCCCGAAATAACATCTCCAGCTGCATGGGGTACCCTGACATCATCTACGTGGCCCATGAGCTGGGAGAAGAGGCATCAGAGTGAGTCATCCTGGGAGATAAAATTCTGGGTGTGAGGGGAAGGGCTAAAATTCTGGGGAGACTTGGAGAAGGCTAGTGAGCCGGGTTTCCTCGGTGGGCTGCTGAATCAGCCACTGTCCTTTTTGCCTCTACTCTTACCAGTGTCTGACTCTCAAAGTTTTGACATGGGACAGCGATTTTGTGGGATTATTTTTTCACATCAGGAAGATCAGAGGAGCAGATAACAGACACCTAGAAGTCAGATCACTTGTGTGCAAATTCTGTCTGCCCTTTTCACGTGCACTACTTATGGCATGACCTTTAATTACCTAGGAATAAGGATTCTCTCTAAGGCTTAGGAAAGCTCTGAAACTTCTTTCTTAGAAAAAAATGCATATCTGTGCATATGCACCCCATTTTACACACAATTTGGGGGCAATTAAAGGTCACTCTATCAACCTGCATTCATTCTATCAACCTTCTGGGACTCCATGGCCCCAGATTAAACACCACTTCCTTAAAGATTCTGAAGTTCTTTTCATTTTCTTTCTTTTCTTTTTTTTTTTTAAAGAATTATTAATTTAATTTTATTATTCATTCATTTATTTTAATTTGACCAGAAAGAGAGAGAGAGGAAGTGAGAAAGCAAGCCACTAGGTCCGGGTACTCCAACCATTGTCGACCATATGGGAGTGCCTAGCACCTTAACCACCACACCACCTGCTGGTCCCATAGCTCTATATTTGTTTGGAAATAATACTAATAATTGTCCCCTGGTTGGAAACAAAGAAAGATACGTGGTGAGATAAAGTAAGTAACAAGAGCCAGCTGGCCCTGGCTGTTATAAAACAAGGAAAGTAGCAGAGCTCATAGAGTGACCGCCAACGCCAGTTTCTGCCTGCAGTGTTGCTCTCTTTCTTCACACCTTTGTCTCTCTCTCTCTCTCTCTCTGTCTTTCCATTCTTCTCCAGGGAGGTCCCAGCACCATCAATGAGATGTGCCTCATCTTCCTCTTCTACTATCCCCGAAATAACATCTCCAGCTGCATGGGGTACCCTGACATCATCTACGTGGCCCATGAGCTGGGAGAAGAGGCATCAGAGTGAGTCATCCTGGGAGATAAAATTCTGGGTGTGAGGGGAAGGGCTAAAATTCTGGGGAGACTTGGAGAAGGCTAGTGAGCCGGGTTTCCTCGGTGGGCTGCTGAATCAGCCACTGTCCTTTTTGCCTCTACTCTTACCAGTGTCTGACTCTCAAAGTTTTGACATGGGACAGCGATTTTGTGGGATTATTTTTTCACATCAGGAAGATCAGAGGAGCAGATAACAGACACCTAGAAGTCAGATCACTTGTGTGCAAATTCTGTCTGCCCTTTTCACGTGCACTACTTATGGCATGACCTTTAATTACCTAGGAATAAGGATTCTCTCTAAGGCTTAGGAAAGCTCTGAAACTTCTTTCTTAGAAAAAAATGCATATCTGTGCATATGCACCCCATTTTACACACAATTTGGGGGCAATTAAAGGTCACTCTATCAACCTGCATTCATTCTATCAACCTTCTGGGACTCCATGGCCCCAGATTAAACACCACTTCCTTAAAGATTCTGAAGTTCTTTTCATTTTCTTTCTTTTCTTTTTTTTTTTTAAAGAATTATTAATTTAATTTTATTATTCATTCATTTATTTTAATTTGACCAGAAAGAGAGAGAGAGGAAGTGAGAAAGCAAGCCACTAGGTCCGGGTACTCCAACCATTGTCGACCATATGGGAGTGCCTAGCACCTTAACCACCACACCACCTGCTGGTCCCATAGCTCTTTCCATTTTCTCAAATCTTCATTTCTGAGTTCTGATGATATTTCTCCATAATGAGCTATAACTCACCATGGTTGTCTCATTGGTTTATAAGAAATTCCTGTAGTTTGTGCTGACGTAGAACTGATGCTAACCCAAAGGAGGTTGCTCTATACACATTCTGTCAAAGCTCTAAGTTGATCCTTTAAACCACGGTCTATGGTCCCTGCCCTGATTCTACTACCCACGGCAGCTCCATGGAGGGCATGATGGCCATGAACAACGTGGAGTGGACCCCAGAGAACATTAAGAAAGCTGAGAAAGCCTGCAAGGAGGCCCAACAGACTGTGATAATAAAGACCATTGACGTGAGTGCCACAAGAGATACCTCCAGGTTCAGGAATGGAGGGCTGTGGGATGGCGTTGAGCCTAAGCAGGAAGAGAGAGAATGAGGGATGAGAATGGCAAAGGAAGAAGCACTGGGTGAGGGAAGGAGAGGCTGGGGACGCAGTTGCTGCTATTCTGAATAGCGATTGTGGTTGGAACTTTCCAGTGAGCCTGTGGGATCTCTAAAGATGGGAAGACCAAGTAAGGTCTCAGTGAAGGAAAGTTGAGTGGGGATGCAGCTTTCACCTTTTTTCCTTCCTCCTCCTGCAGGAGATGGTGGAAAACACCACAGGATGGATTCCAGACATCATCCCTACTCCTCGGGGACCCTGTCTGGAGTCCTCTGGAGGCAAAGTTGAGCCCCAGGACAAGACTCCAGCAGGCTTCAGGGCAGCACCAGTGGCCCTCCGGGGTTCTGGCACTGCTCCCCTGCAGTGCCTCCCTGTGGCTGTCCTCTTGTTTGTGCAAGGTGCCCTTTCTTGGATCCTTGCCACACTGCAGACTGGAGCATGATTCTGTCTCTGGTCACATAACCAGGCCCCTCTCCACAGCCCTCCCTGTAGGATCAAACACAGAAACTCCTCCCTGCTTTGACCTTCAAAGTCCTGCATCTGTTCCTCTTTACATGACCTAGGCTGTGACCCTATAGATCCGGGCAAGAGCATGTACCATAAAGGCTCTTCTGTGACGAGCTCTGCAAGTCATCCTTTTAAGCTTTAGAACCACTGGAGGGAACCATACATCTGCCAAAGTTAGGCTTCAGGCTGGGTGTGAGGTTATGGAACTTCCCTCTGAGATGCCTGACTTGAGACAACAATTTAAGAGGCTCCAGCTTCCTTAAGAGGATGTCATATGGGAGGAGGGAACTTGAGTGCATAGGGAGAGTTTACATACTTTGCAGGGGACTTCTGTTTCTCTTCTGTCTGCCATGTTTGCCCAAGCCTTTCTGTGAGGCAGAAGCAGCAACCACCATGTGTATGGTGGGAGTGGAGGGGATTTGCAGAAAGAGGAGGACTCTGTTTGTGAGGGACAGAGCTCTGGATGGCACATTAAATAGAACTGGACTCGCCTCCCAGTGCCATCCCTTTTCTTTGAAACTTTGGTCCTGAAGAAGAAGCTGGACGGATGCTTGAACCACTCAGTGTGAAACACCTGGGGGCATTCAAGGGTCTGCTCACCCCAAATGCAATGTTTAATGCAAAGACCTTGTTCTTCCCCCCCCCCCAGTGTCACTGTGATCTCTGTTTATCCCACCAAGGGTCACCTTCTCATTCTCAGACCACCAGGTATCAAGAACCTAACTGGGCAGGCAGGCTGCATGCAATTCTAACAGTTGAAAAACAAGGTGAAGAGAGACGGGTCTTAGCCCTGGAACACAGGGAATGTCAAGGAGACAGGCTGTAGTTCACACTCTCAGTTTTTGAGAAAGGCCTGTGGCAGTGGCTGCTCTAAGAGCTTTTGAGGAGCATTTGTGAGTTTATTCTAAGCTTGGAAAGCTCAGTATCACCCTCACTTTCAGCAGTTAAACGAGTTGACTAACTCATTGTTCATGAATTCTAGAAGAAATCCTCTACTCTGGATTTCCCAAGGTGTTTATAGAGAGCTTAATCCCCTGAAGACCAAGAACATGGCTGGAGCAAACTCCATGTCACTGCTTGAGGAGTCATACAAGAGTCTAACATCATAGCCCTGCTTCCTAGTAGAGCAATACCCTTCCTCAGGGACTGGTGAGGTGCACTGGGGACATGGGTGGTATAATGAATCCTCCATTCCCCCTGGAGAATTCCAGCTCTCCATTTCTGCAAAATCCTGTGTTCACATCCAGTTCCTGCAGTCTCAGGATGACATCTCCTCAATGACTAGAGTCACTTCTGGTCCTCATGACTTGTGAACAGAGGAGCTTTGCTGTCTGCCCTTAAGTTGAAGAGGCTTTTCAAAGTTCATTATTATGAAAAAAAAAAAAATCTAGGCTCTCTAGAACCCCAAGGTGTCTGTGTTCACTATGTCATCTCCATTCAAGGGAAGTGAAGCATTCTCTTTAGAGTAAAAAAAAAAAAAAATCTGAAGCACCTTCCAGTATTTGAGATACACAAAGCACATGAGAAAACACATGGATAAAAATGAGGTCTACGCAGAAACTTCAAACAGTCAGAGCAAACTACTCCTTCCCCTTTGCTTCATCCAGTCAATGAGCAAATCTGACATTTCTATTCCAATTTGTCTTACCCTAAGGATCCCCGGGATAATTCTTTCAGCCTCAATCTTTTTGATCGAAAGCCCATTCTGGTTGAGTTTCAGATGCCAACGCTCAGCTCTCACTGCAGCCTCACTCTCAGGTCTCTTCTGGCAGGTTCAAGCCAGTGGGGCAGTGGATCCCAGGTTCCGCAGCCACAACTATCCAGCAGCTCTCTTGCCAAGGTCATGCCCCAGTGCAGTTCCCAGACACTGTCACTGTCCCTGGCCTCCCCTTCAACATCATGTTTCTTCTTTACTTTTATTTTCCCCTCCCTCCTCTGGTCTCAGCATTTAGCCATCATGCACATATTTAGTGAGCACCATCCATATGCTCGACACTAAGTCAGGAACAGACACTACCAACATGAAGAGGCGACGGGACAAGCACCCTCTGCCCTACGGAGCTGTGGCAAGTGACTACGAGCCCCTCAGCAGCCACTTTCTCCTTGGACTCACACAGTCCACTTCTGAGCCGTTCCTAGTGCCGCCTGATTGACTCCAGTCCCACCTGCCTCAGAAAGAGAACTAAAGGAGGGACTTTTCCAAGAATTCATGGAAAATGCATATTATGAAAAAGCTGTGCATGAATTTCAATTTGTTTTGCATTAAAATAAACTCATACTTTAATCTGCTATTCCACAGACTTTTTGAAATGACTTTATGTTTTTATCAACTGTGGAGAATGAACCATTTCTATACCTAAAAGGATTGCATCTGTATTATACATATATGGAGCAGAGGCCTCAGGTAAATACTCCTGGGGAAATGTTTTAAAATGTTACCACAAAGATCAGAAGCCTACATTAGAAGGGTCTCACAAATAAGAAGGCTCTGTGACCACAGTTTTCCGTCTGCCTAATGACACACTGCAAGAGGAAAATGCTCAGAGTTGAGGTGGAAAGAAATGAGCCCAACTTCCTCCAAGAACTTTCTGTCACATGGGCCTGTCTCATCTTCCACCCCTTAGGGATCTCTAAATCAGGTCAGCTAGGTGACTCTGAGAGTGAAACTCCTTTTCCACCTCACCTTCTCCACTTCAAACTTCATGTTAAAAGAGGATTAATAAAAGATGTATTCCCTCACATGACTTTTTTCCCTGTGATTCTGTGAGGAGAAGAGGAACCAACAGGCTAACGTTTATAAGTAAGTACCTTTGGTCTTTCCTGGGGAATAAGAATATTTTGGCATAAATTGGCACCATTTGCCAAATTGTCATATGCCTTTTATCTAGATCTTTATCTAGCTCTAATCATTGTTTACATTTTGCCCCATCTCTCTCTCTCCTTTTTCTCTCCTTCCTCCACTCCTCTCCTTTTCACTCTCCTCTTCCTACCCCCTTCGTCCTTCATATTTCTCTCTTCTCTTTATGAAGGTAATAGCTTAGTTTCTTCTGACTTTTATAGATCTTATCAGTATCTAAATCCATGCTACTATTTAAGTCAGCTGAGTTTGAGCAGACATGCCCTGCAACTCCACTAACAGGGGCTCTCCGCCTCCCCTGTATCTTGCAGTCGCCTGGGTGATGGGGCCATGGCACCCATTGGTTGTTGAATTGTCCAGGTGTCTCCAACATGTATTCAAGATTGAGGACCACTCAACTAGGAGTTCAAATGTTCTTGACTTGTCTACTTCTTGATGTCAAAGCTAACAAAGTGAGAGCAATTCTAAAGGAAATGATATTTATTCAGGAATAAGCAGTACAATGAAGAATAGGTATGCGCATACTCAGGGAGGTAAGAGAAAACGAAGATGAATTACCTATGTTATTTTTTTTTTAAAAAAATTACCTATGTTGTTTTGAGACAATTTTCTTTGACTACAAAGATAGGTGGGCAGCAGTTCCAGACTGATGGGCAGTCACTGCACAGACATCTTCACAGATGTATTTTTTCTAAGGTGGTAGTGGACTTTGGGCAAGGTTGTGGTGTTCACGGTCTTTGTGGTTGTTCTTGTTTTCAAGCAAAGGTAAGATCCCTTCCCAGCCTTCTCCAGCTCCATTTAGTCAAGGGTTTGATGACGTATGCAACTCCCTTTTGATTCTGACAATGTTCACAACGGACAGAGCAAGACTCACATTTTGGCTTCACACTTCAGAGCCACAGCACAGACATTGACCAGCCAGAGTGGGCACCAAGGAAAAGGGGTCCTGGGAACCCCAGTTTCCTGCAGTTAAAGTTTTAGTTGCTAGATGTGAGGATATGTGGCAATCTCAGAAAGGAGGCACATTTAGAGGACTTTGGGAAATGGCTATAACCAAACATTAAATAAACGAATAAAAAAAGCTTTTCCACTGCCAAGTACTAAAAATAGAAGGAATATGTTAATAGTTAGAAAATCATTTAACACGTTTTGTAGTAATAATTGGCTCAGGCAGTATTCATCAATAAATGCCAAAACAAATAGTTAATAAATTGGGTAGCTACCTAGCTTCAAAGTTTCTCCTCACAATACATTTATTAATTATAAAAATCAGCACCCTTAGAGAGCTGGCAGATACCACCACATCAGTGTGCTTGGAGAAGCCCAGTGGACACCACACCAACCAATAACCAACTAAAAGTCACCAGGAGGGGATAAATGGACATCCTGGGGCACTGAGATGGGCACTGCATCACTTCTGTGGTATTTATGCCAAGAAATGTATGACATCAATGAAGTTATAAGGACATATTATGTTAATATAAAATAGTTACAAATACCTGGTGACTTGTAATCTTCAAATGTCAAAATAATGAAAGAAAAACAAATTCAAGAATGGCTCTAGAGTAGAAAAGATTTTTTTAAAAAGGCAAAAAAGACACACACAATTAACTGGCTGCCAGCCACCCAAAGGTGTGACCCCCCAGCCACAGCCCCAGGTGCCTCCTCTCCTTCACCCAACCCAGCCTCACCCCCCAAGGAGGTCAGTGACAATGGCCTTGGGCAAGATGTACACGTCCCAGTCTACACGCAGCCCAAGCTCTTCGGTCAGGTGTGGTTGTACACCTTCAAGAGGGACTCACAGTCATCATGTGCATGTTGGCACATAGACTTGCATGGACTGAATGGGGTCGTGCAGAAACTCCAGGGTACAGATGGGTGAGTACATGTCTCAGAGGAAGAAACACAGCACAGCAACATGCAGGTGTGTTCCTGCACTAAATTCTTTTTTGTTGGTGTTGTTTCTTTGTTTCCTATAAAGAACACCAGCGCAATGATTGGTGAAATTTGGCTAGGGTCTGTTCATTGTGGTATTGTCTGCATATTTACAATCTGTTTGGCAGATTATGTTGTGATCATATGAAGCTATGTTTTTGTTTTATTTTAAGAAATGCACACTAGTTTGTGATGATTAAACATATTGT